CGCGCCCATCGTCGCACGAAGGAAGACGCAGCGAAGAAAGACCGTGGATCTATGGCGCATAGGATTTATGCATCCGGGGCCGCGCCGCGCAGGCGCCGCGCCCCGGTCAGGTTCGGCGAGCTGCGCGCATGCCGTAACGCCCGCTGCGTCGAGAGCGCCTGCGCTTGCACCTGCTCGAGATGCTGGTCCAGGTGACTCTGACGCGCGGGACGCGGTCCACTCACAGCCGGTACGGGTGGTAGTGGGCCCCGCGCGGTGCGCGGCTGCGGCACGGCCGGCTGCGCGCTCGGCGCGGGTGTTGGATAGTGCACATGTACGTCATCGACCGTCTGCGCCTGCGCTGCGGGGGCCTCGCTCCATGCAGGCCACCCCGACGCATGCATCGCCTCGGGCGCCATAGACCATGCGGGGGGTGGCGCTGGCGCTCCGTAGACGCCCAACATCGTGGGAGGCACACCATAGCGCGGCACCGTACGCAGCAGCGTGCCTGTGTGCGTGGCCACCGGACCGGTGCCAGGCTTCGCACGCCACACATGCTCGTCATACTCACTGGGTCCCAGGCCGTGGCGCTCCATGCGAGATGGACCGTGCGTCGGTCGCGCCAGCGACGAGTGAATTACAGACAGGTACCAGAACATGAGATTCGAGATGATCACCTGCTGCCGCAATGGACGCCGTGGATTCGACAGCTTCGTGTGCGAGAGACGGTACAGTGCGCGCTCCGTCGCGAGGGGGTAGCGCGTATCCACTGTGACAGGCGTCGAGACGGCGTTGCTGCTTGACGACGAGAAGAGGCTCCGTGCGCGGTGCCGCAGGTCATACGAGTCGTGGTTCTTGCGCTTCCCAAACAGGTTGGTGAGAAACGTCTCTTTCTCGCGCCGCGGCGTGCTAGGCGCATCATCCTCTGCGCGCTCGCGCTCCTTGCGCCGCGCCTTGAGATCCTCGTCATCCTTGGACAGGCCGAACCACGAGAGTCCAAAAGTCTTGCGGTCTCGCGCCGCGGGCGGGCGTGCACGCTCCTCAGAGGGGCGCAGTGTGCGCGCTTCGCGCTCATCGCTGCGGCGCTGCGGCGCCTCTGGCTCCGATGGGACACGCGGAAGCGGCCGCGGGCTCTCGCTGCGCTCCGGCTCGGTGCGTGCAGCGGCTTGCCGCACGTCAGGAAGAGGCCGCCGCAGACGCTCCGGTGACGCTGGCCTCGCCTGGCGCGACGCATCCGGCGGGAGACTCGGAAGTTCGCCTTTCTGCGGCAGCATCGCACGCAGCTCGGCAGGCGTGAGCTTGGGCTCCGGTGGAGCTGGCCGCGGCGCTCCGCGGCCCGGCGAGCTTGTCGGCGAAGGTGCCGGTGGCGTAGGCGCTGAGAGCGTCCGTGCACGCCCTTGGGGACTCGCTGGCGCCACATAGCGCGATGGCGCCTCGGGGGCGGCCATAAGCGAGGGCGGGATCGCTGGTGGCGGCTTGCGGTGCGAGCGCGGCGACTCGCGTACCTGCCGGGGGGGTATGGAGCGCGCCCGCTGCCAGTGCGCCGTGTCAGTCGCCTTGTCGGGGCTCGGGGGGTGGGGGGTATCGGGGGCGTATCCGCAGCATCTGTGGCTGCCGGCTCGGCTGCAGGCGCCTCTTTTTCAGGTTCGCGCTCGTCGCCTCTGACCTGCTTCCGCAGTGAGCTGCCGCGCCGTGTGAGCGAGGCTGAGCGCGCCAGGTATCGTGCCGCCAGGTCCTGGGACGTCACGGCTTCTGCGGGGTGCAGGCTCACGTTTTTCTCCGCCTGCTCGCGCAGGAATGTGCGAAACTCGGACGGGCTCACCTCGGGGTGAATCGACGCGGAGACCCACAGCTCGTCGCTGGGGCCTGGCGCAGCGCGCGCGGACGGCTTGGGCAATGGCTGCGACGTGCCAGGCGGCGTCTGAGCCAGGCGCATCTGCCGCCGCGCAAGGTACCGCTGGCGGTGCGTCGACCCAAAGATGGGCGACGCATCCTGGAAGTGATGAGCGTCAAATGGCTCGCTGTTTGTCTCGGGGGTGCCCGGCGGCGACGCGCTCGTGGAAGCGGCGGACGACGCGGACGACGCGGGATCGAGTGACTCCTCAAACGTAGGGGAGGGAGGGGATGCTAATCCGGGAAAGTCGGGATCGATGGCGGCGACATGGTTCGCAGACAAGCGCCGATGCGCACGAAGCACTTGCACCTCGCGCTGCAGGTCCAAATCATTCAGGTCGGGACCCTCCATGGCGCACTCCGCCACACCCAGTCAATGTTGCGCACGCGCAGCGTGCATACAATGACCAAACTCTCACAAAGCTGAGAGCCACGCAGGACAGCGCTACAGCCAATGTCCACGCCCAGCAGAGAACAAGAGCCAGCGTCTCGCTCGGGGGCAGGCTATGCACGCCCGATGAGCATCGCCCGATGAACCTACACAGCCTATCACAAGATCTCCTCCACGCAAGGCAACGAGGGCCGCCCTAGTCGTGCAGGACGTCTAGGCGCGCCTCGCCTTGACATAGACGACGCCAGCATCAGATGTCGCATCGACACTAAAGCCGCGCTGCGTGAGATAGCGCACAATGGCCGGCCGGATCACAGACTGATAGTGCCGGCTGTGCATGCCGCGCCCCGTCACGATTTCGAGCGGGGCCCGCACGCGCGCCTCACCCAGCGGCGTGCTCTGCCACCGCGCCACGTTCTGCGCGACGACCGTGAGCGACTCGTGGACGGTCAGTCCGTGCAAATCTATGCGCGTAGGCGCATCGCTGGAAAGCGTGCTGGAACCCGACTCAGAGGCCCGCTGCTCCACGAGCGCCGACGCTGCCCGCAGCTGCCAGCGCCTTGCTGTGGCATCGTGCTTCCTCGCCTCCTCAGCATAGACCATCGCAGCACCGCCCACACCAGTGCTCCGTGACTGCCGTGCACACCGCGCCGCCTGCTGCAGGGCTGCATCACGTAGCGCACGCGCGTCGGCAGCGCGGCGCAAGCTCTCCTCACGGGTATATGGCGTGTCATCATCGATATGGGCCGCCGGCACATCGACCTGGGCCGCCGATGCGGGCAGCACAGTGGCAGTCCGCCCAGCTTGTACCGCCGCTTGCGCGCGCTGGGCGCCCGCCGGAGGAGCAGGCGCCAGCGACGCACGACCCGCGTATGTTCCGGTGTCGCCCGAGAGCCACCGCGGTGCACCGCCTGTCTTTTTCATTTGCTGCGATACAGTCGCAGTGGCACGTTCCGCAGTCGGACCATGCGTCGCGAGCAGCCCACTGGGGTCCAGAATGTCCGGTCGAACGCTCACGGTGTCGGCCGCCTCATTCACGACGTCTTCCAGCTGTAAGAGGTCTAGCGCGGCGTCCTGATGGCCCCGCGTTGCACGTAACAGACTCTCGGCATGCCACACATCGCGCTCCGTGATCGCGGCCAAAGTTTCGCACGCTGTCTGAAAGTCGGGTGTGCTTGCGAGTGCATCGGCCGCGGGATCGGAGGCGGCCAGCTGGATAGCGCGGCCCATAGCGATAGGGAGGTTGAACGAGGCTTGGTTGAATAGGCGCTGGACTTGGGACGACGGCATGTCCAGCAAGACTGCCAGCTGGGAGAGCGAGGACGACGCCAAGAGCCATTGCTGGTCGGCCACAGGTATACTGGATGCCTCCGCTGCATCGCGCTCCGCATTCTGGAGCCGCCGCGCGAGCTCCTCATCACTCAGCCCGGCCGCATCCACCACGGCTGGTGCTGCCGGCTTGGGCGCCGCTCGTGCCGCGTACAAAATATGATGGGGGCTGCGCTGGTCGGTCAGGCTCACAGTAACGGGGCCGCGACCTTTTTTGTCCTTGCTTTTCTTCGCCTTGGGCTTCTTCGATGCGAGTCCAGCAGAGAGTGCCTCCAGGTCGAGCCCACGGCTGCTTGTCGAAGAAGACGACGAGTGCATCTCCGCCTCGAGCATCTCCTGCGCCAGCAGCTCATCCATCGCCACATCCACGTCGCCGCGGGAATCTCTCAACGCCCCTTCCAAAATATCCACCTGCTTCTCAGGGAACGTCTGCTGCAGGAAGAGCAGTGACGTATCCATCGGTGCCTCCCACTCATCAGAGACCATGTCGGCGGGAACAGCAGCGGCTAGTTGCTCGAGAATGGCCGCCGCCTGCTCAGCAGACTGCCCAGGCTCCTGAGTTATGGCCAGGATCAAGCTCGGATCCAGGCGGGAGGAATACCGCGCTAATAGCGCGGCCGAGTCATCCATCCCCGCCCCCACTGCTGGCCGCGGCGGAGCACGGCACCGGGCGCGTGGCCCGACGCGTCTTCTCCACATGAACACGATTGTGGACCGCCTTGCCAAACATGTATGGGGTGCCGCGGTCTGCGAACCATAATGGCATCGGTCTCTATACCGAAGCGGATATGTTTGAAACGGAACCACTTGCCCCGATGGACCTACAATACTTGGACAGCAATCGGCAGATACGCAAGGCGCCGCGCCATGTGTATGGGACACGGCACGCCTGGGCGTTCATGCTCCCAAGGCCCACTTTGTGCCATGTTGGGTATACAGTAGAGGACGATGAGCCATTACTGCCGCGATTCTACACAGATCCTTGGACAAGACCCTTGTCGATGACCTGTGTGCAAAACACGCCTCCCTCCATGAATGCACCTTCACACCCTGCCAATCCAAGCGCGACTACTACTCCGTACGCATTGGATGCACAGTATACCCATTTAGTTACGCATGAGAGGGAAAGGCTGTATGCGCACACGGAGGGATCTCCGTCGCCCATCATGGACAGAATGCCACCCCTGACCCCCATCCATGTGGATGAAGCCAAATTGTACAGAACGACACACAAAAGCTCCACGATTGCGTATCATCTTCCAAGCAGCACAAGGCAATGGCAAACACGCAGAGAGGAGAACGAAGACATTTGGAACAGCCTATGGTAGTACAGGTATCCTTGTGGGCGCCATGTAGGGTAGCCACTTGTTTGTATGAGTTCAGCGCGGGGCCAATCACAGTATCCCAAGGCAAGATGGCCGAGTGGTCTAAGGCGCTGTGTTCAGGCTTGCTTCGGCAATACCTAAACAAAAAAAAAATCGCAGTCTCCCTGAGGCGTGGGTTCGAATCCCACTCTTGTCACATTCTTTTTGCTCAGCGACGGCTAAGCACAAGATCTTATCTAGGTTACCATAGAGAATCCGCTCCCATCGGAAGGCAAGATGGCCGAGCGGTCCAAGGCGCTGTGTTCAGGCTTGCTTCGGCAATACCTAAACAAAAAAAAATCGCAGTCTCCCTGAGGCGTGGGTTCGAATCCCACTCTTGTCACACTTTTTTACTTCCTTTTTCAGATAGTTCTGCGCATCCAACTTTTTCATCGCGCACGCAACGCCCACAATTCCGCAAAGATGGGCTTCATTGCATCAGAGCCCAAAAAAGTGGACGCATCCACACCACCAGGCCCACGCGTGCCTGACCTTGAAGTGCAGCATGTAGAAGCTGTCAATGGTGCCAAGGAGGAGAGTGAATTGGAAGGAGATTTGCATCTCCGAAACTCGCATGTGGAAGCCTCGGCGGTGGATGAAATTTACCAGCGCAAGGTGTATATTATGAACAAGATTATGAATGAGCACATTGGTATGACATGGTGGCAGTATGGTCTATTGTTTGTGTCAGGTGTGGGCTGGTTCTTGGACAACGCCTGGCTCCAGCTGGTCGCCGTAATTCTTTCGTCGGCGTACAATGAATTCCACCCGAACGAAAGTTCGAGCCGAAACACAGCATTCCTTAATACGGCTCTATACGTGGGTCTGGTTGTTGGTGCTGCATTTTGGGGCTATGTCGCTGATATTGTGGGACGTCGATTCTCATTTAACGCGACGCTGTTTATATGCGGTGTATTCGGCGTGGCAGCCGGCGGCGCTAAAAGCTTTGTGGCACTGGGGTCTCTGTTAAGTGTTGCTGGGTTTGGCATCGGTGGAAGTTTGCCCGTCGATGGAATGCTCTTTCTCGAGTTCCTTCCCGGCGCTCGGCAGCAATTGCTCACGCTGCTGTCCGTCTTTTGGCCTCTGGGTCAGCTGGCTACATCGCTGATCGCTTGGGGCTTTATTCCAAAGTGGACATGTCATGGTGATGAATGCTACGAGTTTAACGGCAGAGGCTGGCGCACACATAATGTCGGCTGGCGCTATGTCCTTTTCACAACCGGCTCTTACACCCTGCTATGCTTCATCGCGCGTTTTTTCATCTTCCGGATTCCTGAGAGCCCCAAATTCCTGATCTCGAAAGGTCGTGATGCAGATGCTGTTCTCGCAATGCACAAACTTGCCGACATGTGCGGCAAGCCGCTGCCAGAAGGTATGCTGACGGTGGCCACACTGCGCAGCGCGGCGGGCCAAGATGTGGATATGACGGAGGTACCTGTGACAGAGACGGTGCCGGCAAGTATGATGGGCAAAGTCCAGCTGATGTACAAAGATTTTATCATGAACGTGAGGACTTCGCAGTCCAACAATCCTTTCAGTCACCTCAAGCCGCTCTTTTCAAGTTGGGCACTGGGGTATACGACAGCCGTGATTTGGGCATTGTGGGCACTCATTGGTCTGGCCTATCCTCTTTTCAATGCATTTATTGTGCTGTACCTTAGTGGCAGCGGTGACAACCCGACGCCTGAGAATATTGTCTATCGCAACTATGTGATTGTCTCTGTGTGTGGTATCCCAGGCTCGCTCCTGGCAGCCTGGCTGGTGGATCTGCCCCGCAGTGGCCGTCGCGGTGCGATGGCTTTTGGCACGCTCCTCACTGGTATTTTCCTATTTGGCTTTACCGGCGCGGGTGACAGCTCTGATTCTCAACTGGCGTTCAGTTCGGTGGTCGCCTTTACGCAAAATATCATGTATGGTGTGTTGTTCTGTTACACACCTGAGACATTCCCTGCACCATTGCGTGGCGCTGCAGACGGCGTTGGATCCAGTCTCAACCGCGTATTTGGTCTGTTTGCATCTATTATCTATATCTATGGAGGCAATAATGCCTCGGCCCCCATTTACGTGTCGGCTTCCCTCTTTATCGTTTGTGCCCTGCTCATGCTGACGCTTCGTGTGGAAACGGCGGCTAGGACGGCCCTCTAATATCCTGCTAGGTGCCTTGTAGCACGTAATAGAATTTCTCATGGGCCTCTTGAGTTTGCATGAGCACTGCAGGCGAAAATGTCCAGAAATGGGGTAGCTAGAGGCTATCCAGCTGCAGTCAGCTGCAAGGTTGGCCCTGTGACCAATTGTGCGCGTGCGCTTGCGAATTTGCCTATATGGGAAACGATCGCAACACTAGGTGCCTAGCTCTCGATCGCGATGAGCGTCGAGACCCAAGTCGTAGGCGTGGAAGGGCCTAAAGACATTGAGAAGAAAGAAGATGCGGGCACCGAGGCGCTGCGCCAGTCGCATGTGGAAGTAGCCGCCGTCGATGAGGTGTATACGCGCAAGGTTTATGTGTTCAACAAGATTATCAACGAGCATATTGGCATGAACGCATGGCAGTGGTGGCTCCTTGTCGTGGCGGGTATGGGCTGGCTACTCGATAATGCGTGGCTCCAGCTTGTGGCCCTGATTCTGCCGCAGGTCAGCGCCGAGTTCTTTACGGCCCAGGAGCTGGAGCAGCGGCCGAACAAGTCAGCGTTCCTGACCTTGTCGTTGTTTACTGGTTCGTTGGTCGGTTCGACGCTGTGGGGCTACCTCGCGGACATCCTTGGACGCCGGATCTCGTTCAACATTACGCTGCTGATCTGCGGAGTCTTTGGTATCGCGGCTGGCGGAGCCAAGTCGTTTGCCGCGCTGGCGGGCCTGATCGGCGCGTCCTGCTTTGGCATTGGTGGCAGCCTGCCTGTAGATGGCATGCTGTTCCTCGAATTTTTGCCCGGAAGCCACCAGTACCTGTTGACGCTGCTGTCCGTGTCGTGGTCGCTTGGCCAGCTGATCACTTCACTGATTGGCTGGGGCTTCATCTCCGGCTGGAACTGTGACACGCACGAGAACTGCCACGGCCTGTACAACTCGCAGGGGTGGCTCGAGCTAAACCTCGGCTGGCGCTATACGATCTTTACGACCGGTGCGTACACGCTCTTCTGCTTCTTTGTTCGTTTTCTCGTGTTCCCCTTGCCGGAGAGCCCCAAGTACTACCTAGCCAATGGCCGCGATGCGCAGGCGGTACGTGCGATGCACAAGTTTGCGGCGCTGTGCGGCAAGCCGCTGCCGGAAGGCATGCTGACTGTGGCGCTGCTGCGCCAGGCAGCTGGTGAGCCGCCCCTGGACGAGTACGAGGAGCTGGGCGAGGAGCCGCGGGGGCTCATGGCGCGACTCAAGTACTGGTTCGCCGAGGTGCGTGAGAATGTCCGGCATGCCAAGCACGTATCTCTGATTCGTCAGATCCGGCCACTGTTCTCCTCGTGGGCGCTTGGATACACAACGGGCATGACGTGGTTCCTCTGGCTGCTCATTGGTCTTGCATACCCCTTGTTCAACTCGTTCATCGTGGCGTACCTCGGCTCGTCGGGCGACACGTCCCTGTACACGCAGTACCGCAACTATGTGATCATATCCGTGTGCGGTGTGCCTGGCAGTGTGATTGGTGCGTGGATGGTGACGTGGCCGCGTTCTGGCCGTCGTGGCGCGATGGCGATCGGTACGCTGCTGTCGGGTGTGTTCCTGTTTGGCTTTACCGGTGTGGGCGCCAACGCGGATGGGCAGCTGGGCTTCTTCTCGGTAACCAACTTTTTCGAGAACATCATGTACGGTGTGCTGTACTGCTACACGCCCGAGTCGTTCCCTGCGCCGCTACGAGGCACCGCGGACGGCATTGCAGCCATGCTCAATCGCCTGATGGGTATTGTCGCGACGGTCATTTACATCTATTCGACATCGACGGAAGCGCCGATCTACACGTCCGCTACGCTGTTCCTCGTCGCGGGCCTGCTCATGCTCACGCTGCGCGTGGAGACGGCCGCCCGCACATCGATTTAATCAGGCGCCCTTGTACCGTTGGCGCTCCCAATCGGCCCACAGGGCCTGGAAAACGACCTGGCCACTGGCATCCAGTGCATGCTTCAAGGCGGCATCCCTTTCATGCTCACCACACACATCGCACAGCACAAACAGGCCCGGTTGCAGCTCGGTCCGCAGAGCCGCAGCGATGGTAGTGTGTGGCATTGTGATACTTCGCACATAGGCCAGCAGCATATACACTGCATATTTGGACAGGGGCTTGCGCAACGACTCGGTCGTTGCGTGCGAGAGACGGGCTCGCTTCGCGGCCGGCGCCACAGCGCTTGTCTTGGCGCCCAGCTCAGTGAGCAGCCGCGCAAGCGCACGCGCCTCGGCGCTGGTGAGCGGTGCCGCAGCCATATCCAGCCACGCCGGCAACGCGGCAGCCATCTCGCGCACAATGGCCTCGCCGGTATGCGCCCGCACAAAGCTCGAGAGCAGCAGGCAGAGACGCGCAATCAGGTCCGTGAGGTGCGGCAGGCACGGCCGCACTAGGTCCTTGCGCTGCCGCACAAGGGCGCGCAGCGTCGCACACACGCTCTGGAAGATGGCACCAGCATCCGCAGCGCTGGGGCCCGACGACCGTGCGCCGACGACCAGGCCGAGCAGCGCCAAAAGTCGCGGCACATCGGGGGCATGCAGCATCCGCGCACGGTTCTGGCACACATGTTCCAGCAGCTGGACGGCAGCGAGCGTCGCTGAGGGCATATGGGGAAGGAGCACGGTCAGGCGTATGAGCAGCGCGGAAAAGTGCACGCGTGCCGCGCGCCCCGTGCCCGGTGCACCGTGCTGGAGGAGCAGGCTTTGGACGTGCACGAGCGCCGCGCACTCACACGGCGAGCACGGCGTGCGCGGCTCGAGGGCCATGCCGAGCGAGTGCAGCGTGCGCTCATAGTCGTCCGGCGTCATGCGGACGACTTGAGCGACCCAGATGGCCGTGAGGTCGTCGTTTGCAGGGAACGTCTGAAGCAGCTGCGCCAGCGCCACGCCCAGTCCCACGTATCGCGAGGCCGGCGCCACATGGGGGCCGAGCGCAACAAGCACTTGCAGGAGGCTCGTGGCGACGGGCTGCGCGCGCGCAACAGGCACCTGGTCGGCACGCACGGC